TTGTCGCAGCGGCAGAGGCTGGAGAAGCAGCCACCGCGGTATGTGCGCAAACCATGGATGTCGCCGTCTGACCCCAGCACCATTTTCTTTTCACGCATCTGCGACGAGGATGCTCTGGATGTTGTAGACCGCAGTATGGAGGATAACCTGCAATGCGCCTTGCAGGCACATGAGCCGTCGTGGCCCTTTGCTAGGCTTGTTGAGAGCTTGCTTGATCTCCGGCGGCTGCGTCGGGGATTGCGCCGCCTCTCTCCGTTTGCATGGCTGTTTTCTCTCGAGGCGGCGCTGGCTGCACACACACCGCGGTACACACGTGATACAGCAGTAGGAGCAGCAACGACATCAGCGGCTCAACCACCGGATGCTCCATGGACGCTGTCACAGCACTTCGGCGCGATTGTTACCTTGGCGATTCACCGAATTGGCAAGGTGCAGGAGACCAGTTGTGGCCTCAGCAGCAGCGGCGCCTCCGTGGAGCATGTGGTTCTCTCGGAGGATGAAGATGAGGATGAGGATGTGGTGTGCGTCACGCCCAAACCACCGCATCAGCAGCAGCAGCAGCAACAACAACAACAGCGGTTGCTACTCCCACACGGCGATGAGGTGGACCCGTTTATGGAGTACACTAACCGTGTTGTGCAAAGCTGGTGCCGCGACGCACGGCGCAAACTTGGCGGCAGCAGCAGCAGCAATGGCGAGGCGAGAGCAGAGCCTGTTCTGCTGCTTGTTGTGTTTGGAAACCGTGCACTGCGCCGATACGTGTGCCGTCTCACACACTCACTGGGGGACTTCCAGACGCTTGAGCTGAATGGCTTTATTGCGGCGTATCAGGCGAAGCACGGGGCTGACATACGCCGCCGTGTAGAGACAACTATTACGGAGAAAACGGAAGCAGCAAAGCTGCGTACCTGGTTTATTGCCGGCAATGATATTAATGATGAAGACGAGGAGGCGACTGGCAACGACAATGACGGTAGTGATGCACGTGAGGAAGCGACGAAGACGACGGCGGTTCCGCTTTCGCAGGAACCAAGTTTTCTCTTTTCACAAGAGAGTTGTACCACGAACGCCATCAACTCAACCAGCAACAGCAGTAGGAGCTGCCAGAAGGGTGCCACATCACTGCACCAACTGTTGTTGAGCCAAGCACCGCTTACACACCCGTCGCAGCAGCCAGGAGATGAAAAAGAACAGGACCAAAATGCCAGCCTGCTAAACCTCGAATGTGTTAGTGACGGCATCGCTCTCCTGTCGGCGTACTCGTGCAGCAGCGCACTATCACCGCTTCGCCTGCACGTGGCGGTGGTGGATGGCTCAGTGATGTGTGCGTCAGAGCTCATTTCGATACTAAACGGCACACACGAGGCTCTGACGCTGTCCGCAGATGACGGTGCGAACATCACTGCCACTACCACCACCACTCTCCTGGCGCCACCGAGGCGGTGTCTTGTCGTTGAGCAGCAGTTGCGCTTCCTGCGCCTACTGGAGATGGCACAAGACGCGTTGCCGCCGCAGCGGCTGCGGGAGTTGCGGGTTCAGGTGTTGGTGGAGAGTCTCCAGGAGACCGCTGACGCTTCGGCTGCTGTTGTGGCAGCGGAACGCGAGGCATTTGAGGCCTTGGCGCACGCGAAGGCAACACTGACGGGAGCGCTCCTTTCAGACCGCGATGCTGTGCGGGCGGTGCAGCAACGCCTGGACTCCGCCCTGCTCGACAAGGGCCGCGCGGGTCGCATGCAACGCTTCGGGATGGGACGCGGCGATCATGACGGTGAGGGCGATGGCGCGGTGGAGGTGGCGCCGCTTGTCGTGTTTGACGAGCGCGAGTTCCGCTCGCTGCTTCCATACGCGCTGTACTGCCGTGGCATCGATTTGGTGCCGCTGACGCTCGCGACGGCCGACTACGTGTTGTCGCCGGAATATGCGCTGGAGCGGAAGAGTGTGCCGGACTTCATTCAGTCGCTCCAGTCGGGTCGCATTCACACGCAACTCGCCGCTCTCTCGCGGCGCTACGAACACCCCATGTGCCTCATCGAGTTTGACCGCGCCACGCCGTTCCGTTTAACCTTCGCAGCAGCAGCAGCAGCAGCACCGACAGGGAGTTCGTATGACAGGCCATTCGGCAGTGGTGGGCTCTTCACGCGCATTGCACGCCTCTTTGCCGCCTTTCCCCGCGTGCACGTGTTGTGGTCGCGTGATGCCGCGCAGTCGGCAAGCATCGTTCACACCATGAAGCGTACCTGCGCAAGTGCTGCGGTGGACCCAAGCGCGCCATCGCTTACACGAGTGAACGTTGACCCATTCGATTCAGCTGCGGCAAAGGAGACGGCACACCTTGCAGCACGTGTCCTGTCGTGCTTCCCTGGTGTCACGGCTAGTAATGCGCCGCGCATTATGGCGCTGTGCGGTTCACTGGCCGGACTCGCAACAATTGACGAGGCTTCACTCGTCACAGCGATAGGGGAGGCAGAGGCCAAGCAGCTGTATTCCTTTTTGCACGACAACCTCGTTTCAACAGTGGAGTAGTGTGAACGGCACGCAGAGGTGCATGTTTGCTTGCGTTTTTTTTTTGTTTGGTTGTTGTTATTGTTGTGGCTGAAATGTGAAGTCTTCACATGGTATTGCCCGTGAATTTGTATATTCTTGCTGGTATATCTATATGCATGCTACATCTCTCTGGGCGCTTTGTTATTTTCTTTTCTTTTCTCTCTGGTCTCTTCAATGGCTGAGTAAAAGCCAAAAAAAAAAAACGGGATTTGCAGTGGGGGCAGGAAGCTGCACCTAGTTGTGGGTCTCGCGCAGCCCTGTGTCTACCTCTGCGATAATGGGCGACGCCCGCAACACATCTTACCCGTCAGGGGGCGTCCCGCAGAAGTTGTTGGTGGCCAACCATGTCACCAGCACCAACGCAGTGGTGGACGCCTACCAGACGGATTACAGTGAGACTGTGCGCTCGTACCGCGTCTGCCGGCGCGATCCGCTGGGGCCGCACACGCCGCCTTTTCTGCGTTTCCTTTCGCCTAACGACATGATGCTGCTGGCATTGCTTGTGGCGCTGTCGGTGCCGTCACTTCCGCTGCTCATGGATCGCCTGTGGATGGGCGGCTGGATGCCGTTTCAGGCTATCGGCGACATCAACGACTTTGATGGTGATGTCTTGTTGGTGCGGGAGGCGGCTGCGTCGCTTTCACCGCGGCTTATTCTGTTGCTGGTCTGCTTTATAGTGTCGGTGTGTCGCCTTGTGGTTGGCGTTAGGCGCGTCCACACAGAGGAAGTAACGGCGATCCGCGGGCTGGGGATGCAAATAACTAGTTACGGTGCGTTTGGCGGCATCCGAGCGCAGCGGTTTGTGGAGCTCAGGCTCATCCGCTCCCTTATCATCCACGACGCCTTCTTCCGCTGCCAGGCTATTTTCTTCCTCTCCGCGACGGTGGAGAACGAGGCTACGCGGCTGGTGTTGTTCGAGGAGACGCTGCCGCGGCTGGCTGTGCTGCAGCGGTTCCTGTGTGGGCTGCGACAGATACTGTACGAGGAGCCTGAGGAGGGCGCCACGCTCGGGGAGATGGAGGGGCAGGGGTCGGAGGGCTTCGACGACAGCGTAGACGGCGACTACAGGGGCGGGGAGGATGAAAGCGATGTGACAGAGCGTGAGTTCCCCACCTTCCCCGCTGCCGCCGGCGACGGCAACTAAGAGGAGCTTGAGGGAGATGGAGAGGGAGAGGGCAGAAAACCGAGGGGAGAGAAATTCCCGCTTTGTTGAGGTGTAAGCAGTAGAACCCATCAGGCCCTTGCAGCTGCGGTGACCGCATCGATGTGTCGTTGTTCTTGTTGTTGTGTTTGTTTGCATGGATGTCGTTGCTGTGGGATGCCGTGACTTGTGGCTGCTGCGTGCAATTTACTTTGGGCGGGAGGGGATCTCATTTCTGTCTCTCTCTCTCTCTCTATCCCTCTTCTTCTTCCTCCATTCTCTTGTCTCGTGTGTCTCCCCAGATAATACTGCGCCCGCTCGTGAGGGGTGCACGCATGCGGTTTGGGGCAGCAGCAGCAGCGGCGGCAGCGGCAGGGGGTGTGGCGCCGCTCCTCTTCGCGCGTCGCTTCGCCTC